CCTTCCCCCTTTAGTTCTCAGAGAAGGGGCAGGAGCTCTTGTGGCCGTCAGACAGAGGAGAGATTTAACACAAAAAAATCCTTCCACACCCCCTCACTCCTTGCAGAGCCGTGGTTTTATGAAGACAGTTCTATGCCTACTTTTTCCCTTCTAACAAGGGCCGGTTCTTCCTGCAGCCCTGAGCAGAGGTTCTCTGAGCACATCAAAGATGAGAAGAATGCAGAATTCCCGCAAAGGTTTATCCTGAAACGAGATGATACCAGCATGGACCGAGATGATAATCAGGTAAGGGGTGGCCATGGCTATCTGCATAGTTTCTGAAAGTCAGATGCAACTTTTCTAAGATGAGAACAACTCTAAATTTCTCCTGGGTTTCCTGCAGTAACTTTCTTTAATAGAAGCTTCTACCCCATCCAAGCAGCAGCATCTAGATATATCGTGAAAACTTAACAAAATACTGTGGAAATGCATGAAGAATTTGTGGGGATTCTATAGGGGGTACTTTTCTGTACCCTGAATATCGACTGGTGGCTGGGCCAGGCTTTAAGGTGAAGCCTTTTGCTAAGGTTTCCTTTGGAAATGCCCCAGAGTGTTACCAAGCATCTCTCACACCCCTCCCCAGGGCTTGTAACGAGTCAAGCTGTGAAGTCATCAGGACCTCGCAATGCTGCTGGAAGGAAACCGTCGGCAAAACGAAACCCTTTGAGCTCAGCAGCGTTGCCAGTCATCAGAGCTAAAAACCCTCCTGAATCTCTGGCTGCCTTCAGGCTGTCACAGGTGGCACCTCACCTGTAACGCAGAGCTAGCTTGTTCATCTGTGGCTGTTTTCCCAGCCCGTGTCAGACAGAATCTTGAACGTCAAAAACAGGGCAAGAGACAGGAGACCTCTTCACCAGGGATCTCATGCTCTTGGCTCTTGTAGCTCCCATCTTTACATCGTCCCAGCATACCACTATCCCTTGCTTTGGGTTATGTTTCTGAACTTAAGTCATCAGGATGGGGAGTTGGTCATTGCAGTCGGTGTCAGTTTCTGGTTTCCCCGTGGTGGCACTCTGCAGGCAATGCAGCTACCCACGAAGCACAGAATCCATGACTGAGCAGGAGTTTCCTGTGTTGACATATGCTCCAAAGAGTGGCCTTTAGCTTTTGACCCCTGGGAACAGACTGTCTTTCAGAAGCATATGGTGATATTCCTGATCTCTCCTTTCCGAATCAGGCAGAGTTCAGGCAGAGTGGTTGTGCTTGATCCAGGAGGTGGAGTGCACTAAGACCTCCAGGATGTTCATCCCTAGACATAGGTGTCCAGAAGGTAGGTTCAAAGGCAGAGGCTGTCATTGCATCCAGGCATCATGCGCACACCCCGTAATCCACATCCACTTACACTGCTACATAAAAATATCAGCAGCTGACTGCGCCCCCTGCTCCCATTGGCAACTGCTGACCCGCTGAGATGTGTTTGTCCCTTCAGATCAGACTCCCCTTGCAGGATGGGAGAAGGAGCAAATCTATAGAAGAGCGAGAGGAAGAGTATCAGCGGGTCAGGGAGCGGATATTTGCACGAGAGGTAAGCTTGGATGACTCACTTGTCAGGTACCCTCCTGGAACTTTGTGGCAGAAGGTGTCCTTCAGTATAAAGAGGTCAGATTTCGTCATTGCCTTTTCTACAAATTTCCCTGTGTTCTTGGTATCTGCTGTTGAATTCCTGCTCCTAACAAAGATGTCTGAGACGTTGAGATGAAGGAGCCACACCTCCACTCCCCAGTTTGCTCCTTCCCTAAATTGCCTGTTTCAGGGGGCGACAGACATGTGGGGACTGACAGAGGAGGCAGTTTTGCTTCTTGCTGCCCAGCGAGATTATAAGCTTACGCAGTGGCTTTTCTGGGATGACTAGCAAATCAGTTGATGAACCTGAAAAGAGCAGCAGCTGTCTCCCCCAGCTTCTCTCCAGTGCTGCAGCTTCAACCTCCTGACCAAGCAGTGCTGGCTTTGGAGTATCAGGCAGGGCTTTGTGCCTTTATAGGATGAATCTGGGCAGTACATTTATTGTCTTTCTTATGAAGTGTCCAGCTTGGTTACTGCTTCCTTGAGATCTCTGCTCCCTACGTGGAGCTCCTGTAAGCCAGAGCTGTGTTCCTTGCTCACGTCTGGCTCAGAGAGGCTGCTGTGCTCTGCTGTGTTGAATGCTGTCTGCCAGCTGGAGGCAGCTCTCCATGCTGTGCCAAGGGGCAAATGGTGGAATCAGGGACAATTCCAAGTGCCCATCTGCCGTGCATCATGTTCAAAGTCCAGCTCCTTGCCTGCTGCTTTTGAGTGTCTTGGGGACGACGCCTTTCATTTGTCCTAATGGGAACTGCCATGTGCTTGCCCAAGGAGGATGTTAAGGCAGCCGCTGTACTGAGTCCCTAGTAAAGTCACCAGGCTTCAGCTGATGACTCTCCAGCCAGTTGTGATCATGGACTTACATGCACAGGCCCAAAGCCATCCAGACATGTTAGTAAGCAGCTCTGCCTGTAGTCCTGGACTAGAGTAGGTGCTGTCCCATGTTAGCACAACACTGGGTGGGCACACACTTACCCTTTCTCTGTGTCCATGAGCTGACCCGGTGCTCTGCATCTGTCTTCCAGAGGCAGGGGTGACTATCACAGGGTGGGCTGGGCTGGCTTTGAGCCCTCTGCCTTTTTTTCATGGCTCTGATAATTGTGCCTGCATTTAGCAAATAAGGACTGTTGTATGTCTGGCCTTGATTGTTTCATTGGCAAAGCTGTATCAAAGCTTCCTTAGAGCAATGAAGTAGGGAGTTAAGGACTCAGATTTGCAAACTCTTGAGAGATCTTGGGGTTGCAGGTATCAGGAAAGGTTCCTAATGGGCCTGGACGGAGACCCGAATGGGACTGGTGTGCAGAAGGCTCAGCCAGACTCCTGGGTGACCACGTCACTGGTGCACAACATAAACTGTGCCGGAGTCCCATACTGTTAGTGCTTTGCTCCTCTGTGCTTTGAAATTGCCTGGGTTTGTTGCTTTCAAAGTTACTAAGTCTCCCTTTTCTTTCCTTCCCATCTCCGTGTCTTTTCTGTGCTTCCAGACTGGCCAGAATGGATATCTCACTGACAGCAGGTTAGTACTGTTCAGCAGACGCTATTTGTGTCTCTGGCTTTCTCTGTGGAGGACCGCATGACTCTATAATGATGCTTTTTTCTGATGTTAACCGACAGAATCTCCAAAGAAGGCTTTTCTTCTAGTTCTCACAAACGGAGGCAGATTTTTAGGTATCTCTGTGTGATTTACTTTGTACATTGTCCTGCTGAGTAAGTTTGCCCCATGCATGGCTGCTTGTGAAGTTATTGAATTTGTATTTTTTGCAACATCCGTTTCAGAGTCCTTTTTTGCTGATTCATCAATTAAAATGGAGGGGTGGAAGGTGGGAGTGGCAGGGAGGAATGGGGAAGCCAGAGGATTCCAGCAGTTTTCAAACCATTCCGCCTCTTGTTTCCCAAAAGGATGGGAAGACTCCTGCCCTTACAGTGACAGGGTCAGCATCCACATAAGGTGGGGTTGTCCCTAATCCCTGATTATAAAGGCTGGATTATTTAATAGTGGCAGTGAAGTGTCTCAGGCTTCCAGTTCAACCAGAGTATACTGCTGAGGACACTGGGAACATGTTTGAGCAGCATTTTCTTAAGTAGTTTTCCTGTGGATGAAAGGGCTGGAAGGATGGAGTTAGCCTGGTGGGTCACCTTGAACAGACCCCTGCTGCAGGAGGCTGCTGAAAGAATGAGGATAAAGAATGGGATGAAAATGGAGAGACCCTCATGCCTGCTGTCCTCTCATTTTATAGCCAGAGCTCTAGAGATGAAGCGTCTCTGTGTATGAACAGTACAGGATGATCTAAGCAAGTGTAGGAACAGCTTTGCCCCTCTCCTCAGTTCGTCATGTGGCTCAGGCTGTCCTTGGAGAGATGCTGTCCTGGAAAATCAAGTGTCCTCAGCACAGTTACAAGGACTTTGTCCTGGAGTCTGCATGTGGCAGTGGTGTCCAAGGCAGGGGATATAGTTTTCAGATCAGCCATGGGGCTGTAGTAAAACTCACTCAGCAAGTGGCAAAAAAAGCCTTTGCTGATGTGATTGCAGCTTTAGGAGCTGAGCTGCAGCCAGGGCTGTGCTAGGAGCTCTTCTGACTGTTTTGTCCGGTCCCTAAAGAGCTTGGCTAACCTGCTGTCTTTGTTTTGTGGTTCCCATAGTGGGGAGAGGGAGGATATGTGGGCCTTGGGACGATTCTGAGCTCTGGACAGAGCTAGGCAAGCTCTTGAGGAAACTGGGGTTGCCTCGGTGGTGGTGCTGCAGATGATGTCTGTGTGAACTCCAGAGACTTAGGGGTCCCAAAGCCCAGCATTCAGAGCAATACAGCTGTCCGTTTCACTCGCTTAGAAGTCCTGTATTAATGCTGCTGAAGCACAGATCTGATTGCAGAGAGCTCTCTGGTGGTGGACGCACTTGGAAACAGGCTGTAGTAAGGCTAATGGAGAGGAAGGCATGGCTGAAGCTGCTAGGGCAGTGCTCTCAGAGAGTAAGGGTGTGGTAGCATGCCTGGAGTTCAGAGAGCATTTGTAGAAAAAGTAGAACTATTACGCTGCTGGGTTAGCAGTAGTCAGCGTGAGAGGGCTCTGGGTTCTCAGGGAACCAGAGTTTGCAGCTGAGTCCCAACAGAGGCCATGACATGCCCCTTCCCTGCACACACACACAAACACTGCCCCTGCCTCTGAACACCCACAGGAGCAGCCTTCAGAGTTTAGGTTGGAGAGAGCCCAGGAGTTTGGCAGTGATGCCTGTTAGGTCAACTGTAACTTGGGGTTTGAGTCTGCATAGTCCTGTTCCTTCACCTCTTTAGGGATATAACCGTTGTACTGGTTTTCCAAGAGACGTATTTTCTTTGGCTCTCATATGCTGTCAGCAGCCCAGGACATCACTTTGGAAGTTCCTTCCAAGCCTATCTTCCTCTCCACAGCTGTGTGGAGCTGCTGCCGGGCTCAGCCTGCAGCATTATATGAGCATCTCTTCCAGCATTGCCTTCCTCACCATTCCTCCCCAGAGAAGGCTCAGGAACACCTTACTGTGCTTGTGATCCTTAGCTGGGCTGATAAACCAGGCCCACTGCTTAGGATGTTTTTATGATACAGAGTCCTGCTGTGGCCAGACCTGGCCTGGGGCTAAGGGAGGGTGATCAGTGGAAGCATAGCAATATCCCAGCATGTAGCTGTTCTAGCTGGGCAGAAAGCCTTACCAGGGCTGGTATAGAAAGCGGTCTCGCAAGATCTCAATCGGCCTTGTCTCAAGGCCTCTGGTAAAAGCTCCGTGTTCTGAGACAAGGAGGGCCATTAGCAGGGGATCATGCTCTGACACTGCTGGCATCTCTTCCAGGCTGGGATCTGGCTAGGGAAAAGGGCCAGGAGCCAGCCCTCAACACATGCCAAGGAAGACCAGCAGTATCTGGGTCTTCACAGTGTGTGCCCAAGAAGGCTGTGACCCAGGGGGTGTGTTTGCTGTCACATCCCTCTACAAAGCGACAACATGCTGTGTCACAGAGCCAGCTGCTGACTAGGCTCACCACCCCGGTGTGACAGTACTGACGTGGCACCTGTAGGTCCTGCTGCTGCCCCTCTGCACCGGAGGTGCAGTCTAACTCCTCTGGTCTCTGCAGGGGCAACCGGGATGGTTTGAACCGGGCCTCAGGCAGCCGCCAGAGCAGCACAGAGAGCGAAATAAAGTCCCTGGAGCCTCGGCCGTGGAGCAGCACAGACTCAGATGGCTCCATCCGCAGCCTGCGACCACCTGTTACCAAAGCCAGCAGCTTCAGTGGCATCTCCATCCTGACACGGGGGGACAGCATCGGGAGTAGCAAGGGCAGCACTGCCAGCAGAACGTCCCGGGCAGGTACTGTATGGTTTCACCTGTGCACCTTCTACCAAAGGGCACTTAGCAGACTCAGCCTTCCGGGCTGGGGAGCTGGGGCTCATGATGCTCTGGTCAGTGACTCTGGTCAAAATGGGATATGGTTGGCATCATCTGAATGTGTTCTGTACCTGGACAGGGATATGCCGGTTGGTTCATTGTTTGCTTTTTCAATATTCACCATCAATCTTCCCTCCTTTTTGCAGAGTTGTCTAAGACAAAGGACATCATTTAGTCCTATACCCTGGAACTCAACCAATTTTCTGTTTTTTTCTCTCCCCTGCTGTGCTGCAAGTTACGTTGCTGTTCCTTTCTGCTCCCCAGAATCCCTCACAGTCCTAAGGAGACTTGGTCAGGGTGAACCATCTGGCACTTTTCCTTGCTTTCCAACAAAGGAGATCCAGGGAAGGGTGTCGTCAATTAGTCTGTCTCATCAGACAAAGACTGCGTTAATTGGTCTCTGCCTATGGTATTCTCTCAAAATCATTCGCTGTTCTCCCTAGAGCAAACATAACTGCAGGGAGCTGGGCCTGCAGCTCTTCAAGAGCTGTTGAATACATCTCAAGGTTTCAGGAGCACCAAAGGGAATTAGATTCATGAGCTTCTGCCTGCTTCGGATCAACTATTTGTTTTCCATCTAGGTAACACAAAGGGTAGCCCATGCACAGAGAATATTACTGTGGGTCATAACTGGTAATCTGTTACTGACTGACAACAGCTTCCTGAGAGGATGTGTGCTGCACTTGGCAGGCACCAGCCCTTCTATCGGTGGGGAGCAGAGTCCTTTCTTTTCAACTGACTGCTTGTGAAAGGCATTTGTGGAAGAGGCAGCACAGGTCTTTGCTCTCATTTTAATGGCCCAGTGATAACTGAGAAGCCATATGGCAGCTGGTTACAATTGCTATGCAATATCAGTGAGCAGAATCCAGTGTTGTCTCACTGTCTAGCTTCCTCCATTCTCGCTGGTAGGCAGCAGGTCCCCAAATGCTTGAGAGCTGTCATTTTACTGGAGAGGGGAGGCAGATTGGTGCTTGTGGGTTATTAGACTGCTCCTTTCAAATGAAAGGGATGGGTCTAAAAGGCAGCCAGGCTGACTGAAAACCACGCATTCATCTTGCGATTTGAAGGTGCCTACATCATCTCTTGGGACCCTGTTTCCATTGTGCTCAGGGCTGCACTTATTCTGATTATTGCAACCACCTCCAGGACTGATTCATCAACTGATGGGAGCAGTTATTTGAAGATCTGTCCCAGCCATGTGCAAAGCAGAGCAAGAGAGAATCTGCTTTTTTTGCTTTTTCTGTATTTTTCCTCCAGGTCTGCCCTGGGGACAGGAGCCAATTGCTCTTCAGGCTTTATATAATGGCGAGTGATTAGAAACATATTGAGGGGGGGTAGTGGGAAGCAAAGGAATTTTCACTTTGGGGCGCACACACACATACACACACATGCACACACCACCCTCCATATCCTCATGTTTATTCTGTGGGGGAGGAAGTGTTTAGGACTCTGGGGCTCTTTTCCCATCTCAGCATTCAGCCCCTGGGCAACTGTCCACAAAGTATTTCCTTCTTTGCACCATGTGGCTGACGATACAGATCCCAGTAGCAGAATGCCTGAAGATTAGCTGTTGAAATGCAGTAGATCAGAGGCAGAATTAGTTAAATAGCAGCTGCTGGGCATCAAGCAATGGTTTCACAGCCCTTTTATTTCTGGAAGTAAGACTGAAATACTGAGGAAAGCACTTCCCAGCTGGGTGCCCTGCAGCATGTATTGCACTCCTTCCTAACAATTTTTCCTACCTAGGGAAGGAATTGCTTTCAGCCTCGCGTCCCCTAGCCTTTTACTCAAAAGATGTGCATGCGCTAGGTCTATGTGGCCATAAAATAGGGTTCCCTTAATCACCTCTCTGTTCTGGGCAAGCGCTTGAACAGATCATCATGACATATTGGTGTCCGAGCAGGAGCCATGCGTAGATGCAGAACTGTGCTGTGACTGGGAACAGCTCTCCGGCCTCTTTCCACAGACTGGTTTATGGTACTGAGCTGACATGAGTGTATCTGGCAGCTCCCTCTTTTTGTAATCTCTGCCTCATGCTGGGGTGGAGAGCCCTCCACCAGGCAGGTGCTGCTGTGAACAGCCAGTTTCCTCTTCCCAGCAGAAGGCCCATGGCATTTATAGAAGGCTCTGACTTGTGCCTGGTGCTTTCCAGACAAGACAGAGGGCACTTCCCTCCAAAGAATCAATTTCAACACAAATGTGTTTTACTACACTGTGCCAATCCTTTCAGCACCTGCAGCAAGTATGCACTGTCCTGGGGGCAGGGGCCAGCTAGATTCATCATACGAGTCTGGCATTGACCTTTTAATTTCCTGCAGTTCTGAGCAGTATTGAAGTTTTACACAAAGAGCAACTACCTGAGAGCTGTGGGTGGGGACTGCTGTGCAGGCTGTCCACTTGGAGTGAGTGTGCTAGGCTGGGGCTAGAGAAGAGAGCATGTTCTTGGGAATAACAGCTGTACGACTCGTGGCCATAGTCTAGAACAAGAACTGCATCCTAGTCTTCCCTGTGTGGGGCAGGGCATGCAAGGGTCGAGGGGAGAAGAAGATGCTGTGACCAGCTGTGGAGGGTCAGTGTGTTGACGTGGACGTGGAGAGGAGAGGGGTACGATCACCTGGAGTCCTGAGGGTGTCACCACCCTGGTTTGCCGTGAAGCAGAGGCAAACTAGTGGCAGCCTGCAGTCTGCTCGCCCTGTCCCCCATGGAAGCTCCCATGTGGACAGCAGAGAATGCAATCTGGCTGCAGCACAGGAGGCAGTGACAGAATGTACCCCCTGCCCTCCCCATCAATGAATCAATGTTTTCCTCTCCCAGGTGCCAACCCTGCCTTGCCTTTCTCTGTTCCAGGTTTGGTACTAGGTGCCCCTGAAGCATGCAGCCAGTCCCCTTCTTCACAGCCCAGCCGTGGCCTCCTACCCTGCACAGCCCAGCAGCCTCAACCTCAGCCACCCCAACAGCCACCACCACAGCCCCAAGGACTTCCACCTGCAGCCCAGCAGCAGCCAGTCCTGAGCAACCACATGATGTCCCAGGTGAGTTGCTGCACAGTGTCCGGGGCTCAGTAAGCTCCTTGGGCGCGCAGGTGGGAGGGAGCAACAGAGCCAGCACACACCCAGGGTGCTCTGGACTCACACTTGCCCAGTGGGTTTTGGGTGTCCTCACACTTGCTGCCTGTTAGGGAGTGACAGTCCCTCTGTGCTCGGCAGAGAGCAGGAGAAGGTTGAGGGCCTTGCTGTGCCTGAATATGATGCTGTGCCACACCCCAGCTTACCAGCCTCTTCTGTATCTGCTTGGGCCAGCAGCCCTCCTGGCAAGGGATCTCTTGCCCTTTGCTGAGTGGTAGGGTTATGTTCTGTAACCAGTTGCCCTCCTGGTGAGGAAGCATCACAAACGGTAGTTGAGTTTGAGCTCCCCAGTGTTGAAATCCCATGGCTGATCACCTCATGTCCTGGGGAGAGGCAGACCTGGAACTGTGCCTGGGTGTATTCTCCAGACCCTCCCCAAGTGAAATGCAAGTGAAGTTCCACAGCCTGCAGGGCTAATTCTGGGGATGGAGCCCTCTGGAAAGCACTTGTGCCTGTCATTCCTACGTACTTTGTTCTGCTACTGAGGCTGTAAAAAACTGCAGCACAAGAGCTGTCCCTGTATCACTGTAGGACTGGGGAAGGGGTGGGAGCCAGCCCTGGTGGGCATGTTTGGAGCGCAAAGCTGCCTCATGTTCAGTGGATGCAGAGCTGAGTGGTGTGCATGGGAAGTATCCTCGGTACCTTACCGTCCTGCCCTGTTCAGTGCAGTGTGTTGGTGCTGGACCTCAGCCTGCCTATGAGTTCTGTAGGGATCCTTTCTGGCGTGTCATGTCATACTTATGATGTTTCCTACAGCAAAGAACTGCAAGTTACACTGGAGGTTTTCAAGATGCAGCTGGACAGGGAGGGTGCTAGATAATCTTATCTGTGCTCCCTTTCCCATGAAAGGTTGGACCAGATGATTTTCTGAGGTCCCTTCCAACCTGCGTTGTTTTATGATTCTGAGTGTTTTCAGTGGGCTGGGATGGGAGGAGGAAACAAGCCTCCTCAAACAGCTTTTACTGCAGATAACATGAGCAGCTCCTTGCTGTCCGTTGCTGTCTGCATGAGGATGGGGGGAGTTTGTCGTTCTTGGGCCCTGGACTGGCTCTCCAGGGTTGTGGATCTGTTTGCGGAGGGTACTGAGACTCAAAGGGAAACATCTCATTTCAGGTATCTCCCTGAGGTAGCCAGGGTCCAGTGTTAAGGCTAGCAGGAGTGTCTGTCTGGAGCTGTAGTATGGCACGGGACAGACCACAGAGCCCTTGGTGGGAGGTTTGAACACACAGCAGGCTTCTGGAGCTTGTGCAGGATCACTGTGTTTTGCTGGGGTTTTATTTTGTATCTACTACTGTTTGGCTGTTCTAGTGGTTTAGGTCCTGGAAAAACTCTTTTCACGTGTTTGACTGTTGGTGAGAGGTCTCAAAATGCACTGTCCCCCACGTGCATGCACCTTCTGTTTCACTGAAGGTCAAATCAAGTGGTCGAAAAAAACCAATCCAGTGCTGACCATTGCAGGTGTGGTGCCCAAAGTACAGTATGTGGTATTTGAGTTAGGTGTTGTCATAAACAGGCATCAGCAGGTCCTCCCAAGTGACAAAGTGAGAGGGGCCCCTACAGAAAACAAGAGTGAAGAAAAGATATTACCAGCAGGAAAGGCCAAGAAGCACTACAGAGAGCTGGGAGCCTGCCACACAAAAGTGGGCACTGGAGTGGGAGAGACACAAGGGTCTTGCTGGGGGGAAATCGCTCTCCTGCTGCCGTTGGCCATAGCTGGCCTTTGTGAACTTGTGTCACTGTTCATGCCAGGCAAGAGCTGCTTTGTGGACATGGTCAGCCTTCCCAGCTTCCACAAAGCAACTGGCCTGGCTGTGTGTCTTCACAGAGAGATGAATGCTCCCCCATTCTGGTCTCCGTGCTTTCCAACCCTCTGCAATGCCCCCCTCTGTGTGTTTGTAATTGGCTCAGTTGACTAACCTTGTTGTTCCTTCTTTCTCTCCTTCCTCCTATCCTTCCTTCCCTACCCCCTCTGCCCTTTTTCCACCCAAATCTCTCTCCTCCACTCCCTTCTCTGCTGGTCTTAGCCGGTCCCAGCGCTGCAGCCTGTTCAGTATTCTCCAAGCTCCTGCCCCCAAGTCCTCTTGCCAGTCTCTCCACCCCAGCAGTACAACTTGGTATAAACCCCATTTCCTCTTCTGCACTCTCTGTTGTACTCATGTGCTGTGTTTGTGTTGTATGAGCTTTTGCTAATCGGGTATGTTGTGGACACTGCACCTAGTGGGTTTGGGATTCATGGAGGCTCTGCACTGCTGTGGGTTCAAGGAAGTGGGATGCCTGAGGCTGTGGGACCCACCAGAGCCAGGCACTGGTGGAGTGGCTGATCTTGGAAAGAGCCTGGGGAAGAGCAAGTGCCAAGTCCAGAACTCCACCAGGAAGCGATTCTTGTGCCCAGCACTGGGGTCCAGCAGCTATGGCTGCCCTGTGGTCTCAGTCAGCCCCCTGTGTTGTCTCTGCTGGGTCTTTTGGGAATGGCACACCCCGTGGGACAAGGCTTCTGGGCTGGGGCCACCCCTGCCTGTGTGGGGCCCCACATGCCACCAGTGTCCGCTGAGTCCCCCCAGCAGCTCGCATGCCCCTACCCCCTGTCCTGCAGAATGCTCTTGGTCTGTGGTTCATTTCTGGGGACCTTTCTTAGGTAAGCTCCTCCACACAGAGCAGGGAGAAGGGGTCTGCAACCTATTCAGCAGAGCTGTGTCCTACATGCTGTTGTCCTATATGCTGTCCTCCTCCATCCTTCCCACTTATCCCCAATGCAGGCTGACGAACTCAGCAACCCCTTTGGGCAGATCAGCCTCAGCCGGCAGGGCTCTACAGAAGCACCGGATCCTTCCTCGGCTATGTTCCAGTCATCCCTCATCTCCCAGCATCCTCAGCAGACAGGATTCATCATGGCAACCCCTGGGCAGCCCATTCCCACCTCCAACTACTCCGCCTCAGGGCACACGGCCCCCACACAGCAGGTGCTGCAGCCCCAGGGCTACATTCAGCCTCCCCAGCAAGTAAGGACATGCGCAAGCCTGGAGGGGATGTGCACCTTGGCCCAGAGCTGTCAGGCGAGGGGCTGCTGGGGAGTAGTTCAGAGAGCAGGTCCTTGGGAGTGCATCCCCTCTTTTTCTGCTGCTCATTTGTGATGGATTCAATACACAGGGTTCCAAGCTCCAGGGCTACATGCACCCTTGCTAGGCATGGGATGGTCTCTCCCTCCTTGTCCCTCTGAGCTCACGAGGCACCTGCCTGGGGGCCCTCTGGCCCTTCCTGGCTGATAGTGTTGGGGGAGGGTCCACGACCACGTTCAAGGCTGACACCTCTAAGCTCTCTTTGGGGTCCTGCAGGGCATTATGACCTCTAGGATTGTTGCTGAGCTGTGATGAGAATTGTGCCTACTGTGCTCTTGCACTACTGTGCTGGGAAAGGCTTGGATGTGGAGGCTGGGAGGAGCGGGAAGGGGCTGCAGTTCCCTGAGGAGCTATCATCTGGCCAGAGCCAAAGCTCTGGTTGGTTTCCTTTGGCAGAAGCCAGGCCAGATGAGAGAGAAAACTGGTCCTGGGGGACCAGCTGTCTTGGTCCCACTCCTTGTGTTCTCATCATCATATTTTCTTGATTCTGATAGATTCAGGTTTCTTACTACCCTCCTGGGCAGTACCCAAACTCCAGCCAGCAATACCGATCTCTCAGTCACCCAGTGGCCTACAGCTCCCAGCGTACTCAGCAGCTCCCCCAGCAGTCCCAGCAGCCTGGTAAGGGGGCGTTGAAGGAGGGAGGGGGCATCTTTCCCTTTCCTGCCACTCTTCTTGGCTTTTAAGGATCTCCCATTCACTGTCTGGGGCCGGGCTGCTCTTTCCTGTCTCCCACTCTTTGCTTGACTTGCTGACTGTAGAGTGCCTCTTAACTGTGCAAAGGAAAGTTGCAACTTCACCTGGCTGCAAAGGCTGTTTTAGTCTTTTTCCTCCCTCGCAGCATGTAGCATGCACTGGTGCTGCAAGGTGGATTTAAAGCCAGGAACTTCCTTCCTGTCTTTTTACATCTGCCGTAAGGGAAGCCTTTTTCCTACTCTGTAGCAAGGGATGGAGGCAAAGCAGGATTTGAGCCTTCATATGCCAAGTCTCAGGCTGTCTGCTGTGGCCAGCTGGGAAGCTGCTCCATTTAAACCCTGTTCTGACAGGTTTACAGCCAATGATGTCCAACCAGCAGCAAACATACCAAGGTGTAATGGGAGTGCAGCAGGCACAGTCCCCCGGGCTCCTCAACAGCCAGAGGAACAGCATGGGGAGCCAGATGCAGAGTATGATGGGCGTGCAGCAGGCACAGCCCCCTGGCCTTCTCAGCAGCCAAAGGAGCAGTATGGGGAGCCAGATGCAAGGCCTGATGGTCCAGTACACTCCACTGCCTTCGTACCAGGTAGGCATCTGTTGCTTTCCGATGGGAGGCTGCTGGGGAGGGGGCCTCGGCTGTGCAGGCCTTGCAGGAAGTGTCCTGTTCCTGTGCCTGAGTGATGGAGCCGAAGATGGAGACTTACTCACCTTGAGAAGACAGTGTGTGCTTGCCAGCTTGGGGAGGGCATGTCCACGTTTGAATCTGTGGGACGTGTCTTGAGAAGGAGGACTGAGTGTGTCTAGTCCTTTCACCATTGTGTGCACAGAGAAGCTGAGAGGTGCTGCTGTTGCCTGGGCAAGATTGCTCTGGGCTGCAGTAGACAACCATCTGGCATCTCTTCTACCTTGTATGGACCTTGCTGGTGTCTCTTTGTGGCCAGTGCTCCCTGCTACTGCTCTATGTTACCGATCATTCCATAGGGCTGCTGCTTTCCTCCCTGCACAGGTTCCTGTGGCCAATGAGTCCCAGAGTGTGGTCCAGCAGCCCTTCCAGCAGCCAGTGCTTGTACCAGCCAGCCAGTCTGTTCAGGGGGGACTTCAGGCTGGAGGGGTACCCATCTACTACAGCGTCATCCCAGCTGCCCAGCAGAATGGCACCAGGTAAAGCTTCTGTATCTCTAGCCTGCCTTGGGGAGAAAGGGGTCCTGCTGCCCCCCTGAAAAGGCATAGCATCCTGCTTCTGCAGCTAGAAGAGGTGGCTGGGCACCATACGTGCGGGTCATCTCTTGAGCTTGCCCAATGCTGGCTCCTGCAGCCAGTGCTTCCTGGACACAGCTGTCCTGCAGCCTGTGATCCTTCCTGTGCTCCTCCAGAGGCAGCCGTGTTTCCAGTCATTCCGAGTGCTAAGGGAGCTGGTGGTTGCCTGCATGGATAGGCAGGCTGTTTCTCCCCATCCATGGCACCTCACCAGAGCACTCTCTGCTTCACAGCCCTTCAGTGGGGTTCCTTCAGCCACCTGGCTCTGAACAGTATCAGATGCCACAGTCCCCATCGCCCTGCAGCCCGCCACAGATGCAGCAGCAGTATTCAGGTAAGAGGGACCACCGGTCAGGGTTGGCACTGATTCTGCACAGGTTGGATCAGGTGGTGCAGGGGCTGCAGCGAACAGGGCTGCCAATTCAAAGCCAAGTCCGGCAGCTTCTGTGCAACGGGTTTCCTTTGTCTTACCCATCCCACGGCCCACTGCGAATTACCAGGACGTGGCACAGCGACTTTGCTCCAGGCTGATGCTGGCCTGTGCCTGACATCTCCTTGCCGTGGTGGACAGGCAGGGTAGGAGCAGTGGAGGGAGCTGCTGTGGGCTGCGGACTCCCTCTGCTGGCAACGGGGCTTGGTGTCCCCAGGGCAGCTCAGGGGAGCGGGGAGCACTGGGGATGACAGAGAGAGGAGCGGCAGGATTCCTGCATGCTGTCCCAACTGCAGGGAAGTGAGCTGGGGCCTGGTGAATTGGTGCAAGAGCTGGAACCAGGATACTCGAGCTCTGGGCCCAGCTCTACGGTTAGAACCCTTGCCCGAAGTTTTGCTGTGACGCTCAGAGATGTCACCCGAGTTGCCTTCGACTTGTCCCCTCTGCGTGCATTTCTGAATGAGAAGTCATCACACTCTGATGTAAGCTGTGATGTTGGAGAGGGATCCCGACTGGGTCTTGGTGGGGCCTTTTTTCAGCCCACGTGGGGAGGCAGGAGCGGCAGAGGGGAGGGTGCAGAGTGGATGATGGAGGGAAGAGTGCAGAGTCGCACAGACAGGCAGGCTGCCTCTTGTCCCACAGCAAGCAGCAGCAGCAGCACAGTGCACAGGGCAATGTTACTAAAACCTAGGGGTGTCTCCATCAGGCCCTGGCATGGTTGTGATGCAGCTGAATGTGCCCAATGGCCCCCAGGCCCCCCAGAATGCCCCTGTGGTGCAGTGGAGCCACTGTAAGTACTACAGCCTGGACCAGCGGGGGCAGAAGCCAGGAGACCTGTACAACCCAGACACCAGTGCTCAGGTATTGAGAGGACTGGGAAGAAGGCAGCTCATCTTTTGGGAGCAGCCTGGCGGGAGATAGAGGACCCCAGCATCCATGCTGTCTGGATGGGCTGGGACATGGGGGTGGGATCATCCCATGGTGGTGAGACAGATGTGGGGCTGGTCACAAGCACTGGGGCTGTCTAACGCTCTCCTTCCCCCAGGCCAGCACCCAGCTGAACAGCCCCATCACATCCCCCACCCAATCCCCGACGCCGTCTCCTGTCACCAACCTCAACAGTGTCTGCACAGGGCTGAGCCCCCTCCCTGTCCTCACACAGTTCCCCCGGCCCATGGGCCCGGCACAAGGTAAGAGGAAGGAGCGGGGACAGCACAGGGCTGGGTCTTTCTTGTGATTTCTTCAGATCCCTACAAACATTTGCTTCGTTTTTGCAGGTGATGGGCGCTACTCGTTGCTGGGCCAGCCGCTGCAGTATAATCTTTCTATCTGTCCTCCACCGCTGCTCCACAACCAGGCCAACTACAATGCACACCAGGTAAAATTAGGCCAAACTGTCCTGGGAGCAAAGCGCGACTGCCCCACTCCCCTCCCCTGGACAACCCCTCTCTGGGCAGGGCCCGGGAGTAGCTAAGAAGTGAGTCTTACACCCTGCCCTGTGCTCAGACACCCCTTGATTAGGTAGCAGGCTGCCTACCCCACACTCTTGCCATCCATCCAGCAGAGCTGCTGGTGTAAATTGATTTCCCTAGAGCCTGGCACTGGGCTAAAATTTCATCCTGCTCCCAGCTTTGCCCAGAAACAGTCTCAGTCCCGAGTCCTTTGAATGTCCTGGAACCATGGCTGTGCCTTGATCTCATCTGACTTATCCAAGCATGGTGTCACCTCAAAGGTGCCAGGGGGTGCCAGGTTCATCTTCATTCCCCTTCGTAGCTGTGGCCTTGTCAAGTTTCCCCCCACTGCCAGGATGCTCTGTGGGCACTGTGAGGCCATGGTGTCTCCTCAGGTGACACAATACCATTTTTTATTCTTTAAGGGGCAGACTGGAATGAAACATGGAAACCGGAGCAAGAGACAGGCCCTCAAGTCAGCATCCACTGACCTTGGGACAAGTGATGTAGGCAAGTGACCCTCCTCAAGCAATTCCCCCTTTGCCCTCTGACTAGTCCCCGCTGCATGGGCATAGCTGGCATTGGCAGAGACTCCAGATGCCATCTCTGCCCACACCAGTATCCTGCAGAACCCATTGCTGGGGGTGGTTGTGGAGAGCAGTTCCTGCCTGCCACCGCCTCCCCCGAGCACACAAACACACACCTCCCACAGCGCACTGAAGCCTGGCTTGGGGGGGGCACAGCAGAGCCAGCCCCAGCCAGCTGTGCCCATCGGGAGGTGGGAGGACAGGGGTTGCTCAGGAGCCCAGTAAACGCTGCCTGCACTGAGCAAAGCTTTTGAGGAAGAGTGGGGAGAAATTGTTGGAGAGTCAGTGATGAGCACCAGGACACCTGGGCCCTATTCCTGCCTCACCTTTCAGTGAGGGTTGAAATGATGGAGTGGGTGGAGCTGGTAGAACTCCTGGGATTTTATTTCTCTTTGGCAGAAAGTGAGTGCCCAGGCCCCTGAGATCTCATTGCCACCATTGCCTTCTCAAGTGACCCTTCCCTCTCACCCTTCCATTTCCCAGTGGGGCCAGGAGCTGCAGAGCCGTCATCTTTGCAAGGGCTTTGGGTTGTTCCAGGGGTGGCTCCAAGGGCTGAAATCCCCAGTGGATCATTTCTCTCCAGAGGGGAAAGGACTCCCTGTTCCTTGCCCTGAGACGTCTCCACTTGGTCATCAGGGAGGGAAGGGACATGCTAGCTGGGCATGAGCCAGACAGCCTGGAAGGGAGGCAGTCTTCACTGGCTCTCTGGAGGCTTCAGAATTGTCCTGTGTCACCTCCATGTCACTACCACCAGGAGCAGCTGGTTGCAGAGGGCCCTTTAAGAGCTGCTTCCCGAGCACTGCCCCCCTCTCCATGGCTGGCATGTTCGTTACATGCCGCGTTAATATTAGCAAAGAATCCATTCAGCCAGCCCTCTGCTAAGCCCAAAAGCCAGGGCTGGAGCCAGGAGGCAGCAGAAGTGTTTGGGTACCACAGAGGAGAGGCAAAGAGGTTGGCATGACAGTGGCAGGGGCACACAAGGGGTCCTCCCTGTGGGTGAAGTGCACAGGGCAGCATCACATTCAGGGTCCTCTGTGGGTGCAGCCTGTCTTTCTCCCTTCTGGGGATGGAGGGCAGGAGAGCTAGGTTAGCTCCCAGTCCTGGTACCCAAGGAGAGCCCTAACCAAAGCCAAGCCCAGCCAAAGGAAGCAAGGAGGAGTTGATGTTGCTGGAGCCCTGGGCAAATGGGAAATACCAGTCTCCTCTTTAAGCAGGCTGTGTGGGGACCAAGCTGTGGGCATCAGAAAGGATCAGGATAGGGCACTCTAGGGAGCAGAACGGTGGGGGAGGAAGTGACAGGCTTAAAAACGTACATTCCTACTGTGGGCACAGCTTTAGCAAAGTGCTGCTTTCACGGGCAAAGTAAAGGTGGGTGCTCCAACCCCAGAGCTGGTGAGGAGCCCACGCATCAGCTCTCACTATGCCGTGTCCATCCCAGAGTCTGCTGCTGCTGACACATGCTGTCTTTCTACTTCAGTGCTGGGCCGAGTGCTGGAGGTGACAGACCTACCTGAGGGCATCACACGGACAGAGGCTGACAAGCTCTTCACCCAGCTCGCCATGGCTGGTGCCAAAATCCAGTGGCTCAAAGAGACTCAGGGGCGCCGTGGAGATGTAGGCAGCGGGGACAGCAACGGGACTCCAGAGAATGGCAGGCACGGTGACCTTGCTGCCTTATACACCATCGTGGCCGTGTTCCCCAGCTCGCTGGCTGCCCAGAATGCCTCCCTCCGCCTCAACAACTCCCTCAGCCGCTTCAAGCTGCGTGTGGCCAAAAAGAACTATGACTTGCGGGTGCTGGAGCGTGCCAGCTCACAGTAGGGCTCACACATGGGCCCAGAGCACACTGGACTGCGGGCACTTCCCTCTGCCTTTTCCTTTCTGCCCTCCCTTCCTCTCGCCCTCCTTCCTGGATATATTTATATGGACATAATTAAGAGACAAGGAATTGATTTTTTTTTTTTAATTATTATTATTATTATTATTTTTGGAGTGATGCCCATGCCCGCCCACCTTACCCTGTGTATATTGTTTTGTTAAGCACTGTGTTGAACCGCACATACAGGTGTTGATTGGTATGTTCACTGCACATTTTATTTAATCTGATCATTATTTGGGGGTATTTTTGGTTTTATTTTATTTGGGGGGTTGTTTTTAAATATAAAAAGAAAACTTGTCCATCACTTAACGCTGCTTTCCCATTCTCTGCCAGTACCAGTGCTGGGGGCTGTCTGTGCTGCTGCTTAAGGGTGAGATGACAGCCAGGGTGCAGAAGGGGCACTCAACAGGTCCTGCCCCCATGCTTGGCGTGTACAAGGGCTGTGAGCTCATGGCTGGCTGAGACTGGGAGAGGAGTGCTGAGCACTTTGACCTGGAGCTGGTCCTCCCCTGTCAGATATTCATAGCCTCTTTTCTCAGCTGCTGGCCCCATGCAGCTGTGCAGTGGCAAGAATGGGGGCGTGGGGTGTCCCCAGCTGTATCCCCTGCCAGGAAGCAACACATTCCTCCTGATGACAGGTGAGCAACCCTTGAGCTGAGAGGTGCAGGTATCACTGTGTCCTCCTGCCCTGTGGGTACAGGAGGTGGGTGGGCACCACCCTCGCAATGGCATTGCACGCATTGCTGGAGCCTCTTGCAGCGGCTGGATGCTGCCTTCAGGAGGAGGTGCAAGTGAAGACGGAAGAGCGGCCTGGAAGGGGTGGGCTCCAGCCCCAGGCTCGGTGCAAACTCCTACCCCACTGCCACCCACAACCTGGCAGGGACATAGGTCCAGGGACTCTGGCACTGAGGTGCCTGTCCACGCCCAGGGACCTGGCGCCCACTGCAGGGCAACATGATAGCAATGGGGTCCCCAGCTCGTCCCTCCATGGCAGCTCTCTGCCTCAGTGGAGAGCAGACCAGCAGGATTCGCTGCCAGAGGGTAGGGGGCAGCCATGAAAGCTACCCCATGAGG